GGGATGGAGCTGAGGTCCTGGACCAAGTAAGCTGCATTTCTGCTTTCCTCTGATGAACGCTCCTCAGAATTTACCGTGTAGTCTACACCTTCAGCTCAACTTCTTGGTCAAGAAGACATTTCCCTTTTCCTTTTTTTTAAAAAAAAATCTCTTAAAAAACTTTCTCTCCCCCCTTCCCATTTTATCTCACTTTGGTGCTTATAGGTTTTATTCTATAAACACGTTGCCGTCTTTGTGACATGGACTCATTCAGGACATGTTTACAGTACTTAATGACATCTCCCTGAGAAATAATGAGAATGCCTTTAAAGGTTGTCTTCCTCCCGGCGTGAGCAGAGGGACTGCGCGCCCGGCCTGCGAGATGAGAGCTGCGGGTCTGGCAGGGGGAAAATTGACTTAATTTCTTTTCACCACATGAAATGGAGTGTCTGGGTGATCTGACCTAAATGCATGGCCTAAAAACCAATTAATTCTGAATTGCGAATTTGTGAGCACATCAGGCTGTGTGTGGAATTCGCGATGAGGCGGACGATGCGTACCTGGCTTATTTGCAAAACGTGCAGCTTTTCCACATAAATACCCGTAATGGGCCATGATTACCGCCCAGCGGCCAGTGTCTTGCGCCTCAGCTCGGAGACCCCTGCCTGCTCCCAAGGCTCTCCACGGTACTCCAGCGGTGCCCCAGCCTGTGCTGAGTTTGGCCCAACTCCCCGAATGGGTCCTTCAGTGCTGTGACCACAGGGAACTGTGCTTCCTGCTGCGGCCGTTCTGAAGTTAGGTTGCACATCACAGTGGGGACGCAAAGCCCTGTCCCCAGGGGGTTAGTAAGCGAGCGCACTGCCCGCCTCTCCAGGATGCGCTCTGAGAGCCCCACTGTTGTCGGCTTCTCATCGGGTTCCCTCTGCGTGTTCAGCTTCATGCCCCCAGGGCTCACTGAGGCCACCGTGCCTGCGACGCTGACTCGTGTGGAAGTAGCCCAGGAAACACACATCAGTCTGCATGGGCAGCTTAGAGCGGTGGCCGCAAAGAGGCTGTGACTACACCCCGGGGAGAACACGAGGTGGAGGGAGTTAATAACGCAGAGGCGGGAGCTGCCGGTGACCGAGGGTGGTGTGCGCGTGTTGTGTGGGGACTGTGAGGTGTATGTGGGGATGGCCTGTGTGTGGGGGCTACCATGTGTGATGTGGGTTAAGTGTGGATTGTCATGCATGTCGTATGCGTGGTATGCAGTAGGGTGCAAGGTGTATAGTGTGGGTGGGTGGTGAGCAGAGAGGGCTTCATGGAGAGGTGGTGTCTCAGAGGAGGAGGTGGTGGAGAAAGGCTGTCTGGGTGCAGGCCGCGGTGTAGGCTGAGGAGGAACTTCTGCAGGGTGGGCAGTGAGGACAGACCTGGGCAGTGATGGAGGCTGCGGTGGGGACCCAGGTGAGAAGAGCTGGGGACACACCAGGAAGGGCTCCTGTGGGTAGGTGGAGTGCTGGGGGATTGTCGGGGACCAGAGGCCTCAGTTTCCCAGTGGAGCCACTGCAGTGACCTGCTGGGCACAGGTGGAGGGGTGGCAGGGTTGGGGGTAGTTCCAGCCCTCCTGGCCTGGGAGTGACGCTGATGACTCAGGTAGGGGATGGAGCGTGCCCAGCGGTGACACAACGGAAGGCAGAGCTCTGCAGTTCCAGACCTGGGAAGTCTCTGTCCCAGGGTTTCCCTGAGCGAACTCGGTGACATGCGGGTGCCCATGATCTGGGCTGGCTGGGGCTGCTGGTGCTCATCTCTCCATCAGAAAAGACAAATCAATAAACCTAAAAAAAAAAACCCAAAAAACAAAAAACAAAACCCTAACCAGGGCTGGGGCCAGTTAGTGGTGTGGCAGTTAGGATGGCTGGACCCCACGTGTCCAACTGCACAGTTCGAGTCCTGACCTAGAGGCTTGGAAAGCACTCCAGAAGCCTGAGCATGCATGCCCAAGATCCCTGAAGAGAAATGGAGGAAAAGAGATCTCAGAGTGACCATCCCCATAGGACGTGCTTTCTCACCTTCTTCTTCTCTTCTGCTCTCCCTTCCTCTTTCTGTCTCTCCAAGAACAGCACTTGGATAAATTGAAAAAAAAAAAAAAAGAGTCAGGGCTGGAGGGCTGGGAGAGGGTTTGGGGGCAGGGGACCCCCAGCTCCCAGTTGTGTCTCCCTAGAGCCCTGTTGCTGGCTTGCCTCTGGGCTCTTTCTGAAGGTAGGTGTGTCTACTCCAGAGTTTGAGGGACTTACTACCCCAGGGCAGGTGTCTAACCACAGAGGAGGTGGGGGGGTAAGTGCCCCAGAGTCCCGCCACGCCATGGAAGACAGGTCCAAGGCACATTCCAAGGGCTCCTCCAGGGCTGCCAGGAGGTGTCCTGCTGCCTGAGGCAGTAACCAGAGCCATGCTGCTTCCTTGGTGCCTCCTTCACTGCTCCCCACTTCCGTCTCACTTTCCTTACTGCTTTACTCTCACTCTGCCATCAGCTCTCAAATAATTATGGGTGCCCAAACCCTTGCCTCAGGCTCTGTTTGGGGAAACCCCACCTACGACATTTCCAGTGACCTGTGAATGCATAGCCTGGCATAGGCAGACGTAGCACTTAATGAATGCCCCAGTCGGGACAGCTCCTGACCCACGAAGGACGACAGCCAGGAGAAGCGCTCCCCTGCCCTGCCCCTCAGACAGACCCTTCTGAGGCACACGCTGCACGGAATTTCTGGGTGTGAACCTCAGGTACCCACAGTGAAAGGTTTAAACCCAGGCTTTCAGGGTTGGCAGATGGTGTGGCGATTAAGGTGCTGGATTCCCACATGGCTGACAGCAGTTCAAGTCCTGGACCCAGAGGGTTGGTTTCTCGCTTTCTCTTTTCTCTGTCTCTCTGGTCAAATTAAAATAATAATAATAATAATAAAATAGTAAATAAGAATAAATAAATAAAAACCAAACAACCCAGGTTTTCTGACACCCTAGTTCAAGCTGTTCACGGTGAGGATAACAGACTCCCGTGTTCTGAGTGTGCTTGGAATGTATTCATTCGCTCATTCATGTATATGTTTACTAATCTAGCCAATATTTATAAAATCTTACATAGCTCTTCCATTAGCTTTGGGTTATTCTTATTTCTATGCAGCTGTTTCCATAAGTGTCTCCATGTATAGTTTAGAAAATTTTCAATATAATTTTCTGAATCCTCTCGTGTTTACTTCTATGATCCTCTATGTGACTGGAAAAAGCCTTTCTTTACAAGTCTTTATGAATCCTATGTAATTCTCCACTCGATATACAACTTGGAATAACTCTGAATTACCAAAGTCTCCGCACTCCCTCTCTCCCTCCCTGTCTCTCTTACTGTCTGGCCTGAGTCTATTCAGCCACCGCGCATAGAGGCCCTGAGTGCAGAAGGTGGCGTTGGACCTCTTCGTGCTGAAGTGTGGTTGGTGCTGGCCGCACAGGCCACTTGAGGTCAGGAACTGGTGGCCATGGTCTCCCCACTGTTGTCATATGGATGGAGTGGGCACAGCGGTGCCTGGCACCTGCGGCCGGGTGGCCCTGAATAACAGCGCCTGCCCAGTTCAGGTCCCCATACAGTGGCGGGTGCGACTGCGTGACTTGTAAGCTGCAGATCTACGTTCTTCACCTGCGGTGGGACTCCTCCAACACCTGCCCAGAGTGGACCTTCTCCCCCGACGGCTGCTTCACCTAGCTGAGATTGAAGCACAGAAGCAGGACTTGGTGACCGCGTGGTTAGGTGTGAAGACGCATGAAGTCAAGGGGCGGCTGCTGCGTTTGGGGGTGGGTGGGCAGCCTCCACCACTTTGTGTGTGCCAAGCCTGCAGGCCTTCCTGACGCCCCGTCTGTGCTGCCACAGAGGGCCCCTCTGTATTTTCTACATGGCTTTCTTTCCTTTCTTATTTTCTAAAATTTGGTATAGGGCACTTGAGCACCCCAGAAAGAGACAGACAGAGGGAGAGAAAGTGAGAAAATGAGCTGCCGGGTTGGGACTCGAACCGTAGTCAGCTATGCAGGAGTCCAGCACTTTAACCCTCATGCCATCTGCTGGCCCTGGTGATACCGTTTCCTAAGTCACTCTGTAAATCTGTATCTTACTCTGTTTAAATATGATTCATTTTTTTTTTCTAAATCGTGATTCATGCAAAACCTCTTTGCCACGTTTTAAAAGCATTTTTATTTACTTATTTATTTTTGAGAGAGAAACAGGCACCCTGACCAGGGCCTTGCTATGGCCTCCTCAGCCCTCCTGCCAGCCAGGATGACAGTCATGCCTGTGCACTCAAGGTGACCTGGGATCTGAACCTGGGCCTTCCCAACGACTCCAGTGTCACACGGCAGCACCCTGTAACCTGCAGAAGTGACTGGGCAGGTTAAGTGTTTTTCTTATACTTCCTATGAAAATTCCTTTTTATTCACTGTTTTCTTTAAGAAGCTAATGAAGGCAGGGAGCCTGACCATAACAAGGCACACACGTATGATTTGTAGAACACTACGTGGGGACTGACACAGACCCTAATCCTATCTATCAAGTTCTTCCCAGAGGTCTCTAAGGTACCTCTGAACCTTAAATTTCCAGTAGTTTTTCTCCAGGCATGGTCTGGGCTAGACGAAGAATTGTGACCATGGTATGAATGGACGATTCCTGTGAATATTTACCATTAGAAGCACACTTCCCTTGGGACCAGCAGTTAGCATAATGGCTATGTCACTGAACTCCCATGTAGTCAACCGCAGTTCGAGTCCCAGACCCAGTGGCTTAAGCTCACACTGGGCACATGTACGTGCATGACCAAGATCCCAAGAGGAGAATGGAAGAGAAGGGATTGCAGCATGGTCTTCTCCCCAGGGGGGAGATTTTGCACTTTCTGTCTCTCTGTCTTTCTGGCAAGCGCACACGCCCTATAGTAAACACCTCTTTTTTTTTGTTTCGTTTTCAAGTATTTACATTTATTCAATTTACAATGAGAATGGAAGGTCTCCTAAGTCATCAGTATCCTTTGGAGGAAAAACAACACAAAGCAAATGAGTTTCCTGTCCCCTCTCCTCCACAGTGCACCATTGAGGAAGTTGCCACTTCACAGAGCTGCTGAAGAAGTCCTTTCTAGTTCAGAAGGGTAGACATTTGGTAGTAGGAACGTGTTCATCTTAATAATGGAATGGATGGCCCTTTGTTAAAGTCTTTTCCATTTTCCAAGTCTCCGTACAACCTGGGAGGCAGCAGGCACTGTCGGAGGTCCAAGGGTACCATCTTATCCCACCAGTCTGCACGACCAGAGTTCAGCCATCTGGGTCACAGAGGAGTGGACTGTTCAACTTTTCCAACTCGAATTACAACCACAGATAGGCCCTTTTCTTGGTATTCTAATCCCACTGGAGACTTTTCATTAAGACCTTGTTCCTTTGCACACATTTCGGGCACAACATGTTGTCCTCCAGGTGTGGAGGTGGGAAACTGCAGGCCGGAAGTAGGAAGAGGGCACAAACTCTCCCTTTTTGCTTCTCAGGAACCCAGGCTTGTCCAGCATGAAACTGCAGGTGAACCCAACCACCTTTGTTTGCAGGGAGACTTCTCCCATGGACCACACACCACCTGACACC